CGCGATTCCAATTAGGAAGACCCTCTCGCAGGGTTCACTTGGTAGTTGATTGGCGTCGGCCAGACAGTGGTGGGAATTAATGAAGACAGTTAGAGGTGGAGTGTTATGGCGCGGTATCGACGACCAAATCCACTTTGCACTCGTACGGAAATCACTTTGAAGATTGCTGCTCGACCGATGTCTCTTGGTGATAACGTGTAGTATTAAAAATTATGCGTAACGACGTTTCGTTTGGCTTTAAAATTATTTTTTTAATAATTCTCACATTTTATTTTAAATTTATTATATTTCATTTATCTTTCAGCTTTTTATGCCTCACATTTACGCCGCATACCGCGATTATTGGAAAAATATTAGGATTAAGCTACGTAACTAACAACCGGTTAGCATATGATTATTATTATTTTACGAGACAGTCTAAAAAGGAACTCTCTGGCTTTGAATAGAATTAAAACCGATAATCCCGCATTAAATCGTAAATAATGTTCCCCCAGCCGGCGATATCTCATACTTAGCTACCTGCATCAATAGGGAGATGGCGATCACGTTTTCCTACTATCCAACGCACCGTTATTCTCTGTTGCAACGCCGGATTGACGAAGAATCACCGAATAATACAAACGTTTAATAATATATCGTTAGGACGATCCTATATGGCGATCGCGTAGAGACACGCGACTATGAAACAGAGGGCTCGATGTCCATCGCATATACTAGTACTTTCAAATCTCAGACGGGTCACCGGCGAGGTGGCATACATATTCATGCCGAGTATTTACCTAAGGCCAGAAAAGAACTGTTAAGAATCGAGGCGAGGTATCACATTAATACGAGGGTACTCAAGGGATCCTACGAATACGTAGGTATATGCAAATGACATCGTTCCCCGGAGGGAGATCCTTTAAATCACACATCGGGGCTACCAATAACACATCCGGCCGACGCGACCGACGTATATATGCGTATATAGAAGAGTCGTTCTTTGTAGCGGCTAGAAGAAGAGAATGGAGAAGAGAGAAGGAGCGAATGGCGATCTTATTTTACAGCTCGTGGTGTACCCGTGATGTTTGAAAAAGAGGAGAAAGAGAACGCGCCAGAGTGGATTACCGGCGAACTTTCGCGATTAAGAGGAAGACGCGACGGGTCCCCCTAACCCGACGATGGCAATAATCAGACGAGTAAAAAGTCCACCGTATAGAGAGAAGAACCGAAAACGTTCCGGACTGCAGGCGAAAAGTTAAACGCGTTTGAGAGTACATGTTTCGGCGGAAACGGTGATAAAGCTGCTCTCGCTCGTATCGCCACCTCCGCGTACATTATCCACGACGGCGACGACGACGACGATCTGAGAACCTCTTACTCCTGCTTCGCTCTCGGGGGAGTCGAGGAAGTACGGGGCGAAAGGAGAACGACACGTTTTTATCACGAGTAATTCGGACTGCCACGTACATATACGGTCTCTAATAAATTCGTGAATGGCCACGCCGTGAACGAAACGTCCTATACGCCCACGCGCGCGCGCGCTCTTACACGTGCCTCCGCATGTGCACGCACATGTACGCACATATGCACGCGTGTCCGGGAGTAGCGCTCTTGGGTTGTTGCGCGCTTAGAGTACCGTGCCCGCAACCGATCCCAGAATGGGAGATATAGCGGAGAGAAAACGGAAGGGAGAGAAGGAGAGAGACGAGACGAGCGAGAGGGAGCGGATATTATCGCCAAACGTTAATTTGGCCGAGGTCCGGCCTACCTTCCAATTTTCGAGCCCTTACACGCCCACTTACGAGATTGTCCGTTAACGCTCCGAAACGTCGGGACGCGTATATCGACGCCCGCATTTCCCTTTAACAGCGTCGTCGTGCATGTCTCCCGTGACAAGAGTGGCCCATACGCGCGCGTAAAAAATGCTTATTCCTCTCTCGTGTATGACAAGTTTTATATCAAATTTGTGGACCGCATTTGTTTTGACAAATTTGCGGTCGATCCACTTCATCATAATCTTGTAGCTGAGAATAGAAGGGTGTAAATCCAAAGTTATCGGTTTCGTCATATCTGTATTTTTATAATCAGGAAAACAAGCTTAACGAAATACAGAACGAATAAAAATTAAAGCTTCGAATAGGATTAACCAAAAATTTTATTTTTATTGTATAATTAAAAATAACAATATAAAAATTTTAAACGATATAATTTTACATATACGCGAAATTATAAAGATATGTTACATGTTTTAATATCGAGGAGGCGAATTAAATTTTGTAATAAAATGTATATATAAAAATATATCAATTTCATCATAATCCAATAATTAAGGACAGAAGGGGATAAATCCAAAATTATCGGTTTCTCTATATGCGATTTTTATAAAACATACTTTACGAGATAAATCCAATACAAGAATAGGACAGAAATTCTAGCCATCAGACTAGAATGAATAGAATTATTGAAAAAATTTAATTTAAATTTTATTAAAGGGGAGAATTTTTGAACCTATCTATCCTGTACGAACACTGATAAAAATGTCTGATTGAATTAATTAGAATTCTAGTTGAAAGTAGACGAATATCAGAATTTTCTGGTTAAATCTATTAAATTCTATATATAATACTTGAGAGATAACCGGAATTCTGATCGATATAATCAAAATCTCTGGTTTGTCCATTGATGTCAACCAGATATTTTTCTCTGAGAAATAATATCATAAAGTACATCGTATGGTTTTAATATTGAGGAGGTGAATTAAGGTTGATAACAAAACCTTAAATATCACTCACGGCTCACTCGTCCGTGGTCGATTGTACGAGATCCAACCGCGGAAGCGCACGTGAGATAGCATGAGAGAGAATAAGCAACAAAAATATCTGCACACTTTTACCATGCGTGTGCAATGTGTACGTGTTGCTAGCTCTCGGATAAATTCTAAACACGTAAGAACTTGTGCGCTACCAGCGCGAAGGCAAATGCGCATAAGAAAGAGCGAGAGACGGAGAATAAATACGGTTATACCCGTGTAAAGCTCCACATCACGGCTTGGACGCGCTCATGAATGCACGCGCAAAAAGTAGACGCGTTCGACAGTGCGTGCATCTATAAACGGCGTAAACGTCGAACGAGGAATCGAGGGGCTCGCTAAGTGAAAAACGGCACAACGCCCAGCGTTCGCAACGCGGTGAAATATGCAATACCGTTCGACGAAATCACAGACCGCCAGTAACGAGACAAGGCATCTTCGTGTATGCATAAAATATAAATTCATATTTTCAAAAGATATTTTACTTGAAAATAGATGATGATATAAACAACGAACGTTAAGCAGGTCTACACATAAATATTCTATGAGTATTATTCAATAATAAGTTAGGAACAAGTGTATCTATTATATATTACAATTATTTTATGATGTTTAACAAAATTTATTTTCAAATCTACACATATCTAGCTGGTTTTCTAGATAAGCAAATAATTTATCCGAAACCATTCTTGTGTTAAATACATTAAAGGATTAAAGTGTAAGTGTATTAAATACATTGAAAAAATGTTTATAAATATTTGCTCGAATAATCAAATGTTTACTAAATGTAATATATTTATTTGATACAAGAGTCATTAATTTGATATAAGTATTATTTTTTTATTGAATAAATATTTATTTACTGTAAGTAAACGTTTAGGTAGTACCATTCGAACAAATGTTTATTGAAATTTAGTAATAATATTTTTCAGTGTTTTAATTTTCATCGAGTTTCTTCGCGCGACTGATAATTTTATTGAATGACGGCGCAGTTTTCGTCAATTCGTAAATACGAAATAGGTCGATGCGGAATAGGGAGACGTCATTGTTGCGTACACCTCGACTTACGGAGCGCGTATTAGCGTGTGCAAGAGTGCTCGCGGTAAGAACCGGTTATATAGGAACCGTCCGCCACCTCTTCTCTCTGCACCTTCTCTTCTTCCACTGCTCATCCGCCGACCTTTCGTTCCTCCCCGAGTATCCTGATCGGCGAACCCGCCGCTACATAATGCAATGACGCGCGCGCGTGTATGTGTATCCGACCGCTAGACTAAGCGCATACTCGCACGCGTAAATGTACAGGGTGTTCAAGCTCGGCATAGAAAGTGCCAAGTCAAGCGTAACCGTGATCGCTTCAATGTAGAAGCGTCAATAACGTTCGACTTGTCAGTGATTAGAATGACTGGATCTCTCATTTCATTTTGTATAAATTTTATTTCGGCATGATATAAAATTAAATTATTTAGATATCAGTGCCGAGAAATATTGAGAAGAATGGTCGCTTGAATTTTCATTTTGTTGACGAGAAAGTTGCCTGCAGTTCAAGAGAATCGTGCGTTTATTTCTGAAACATCCTGTACAAGAGCCACAGTACGTACACTTGTGCGATGCTTCGACACTATGGGCGCCTGCCTATCTGACGTTGGGTGCTTACGAGGGCGAGTCCGCGTCTTTTCTTTTTCTCCCTTTCCTGACCTGGCTACCGACAGGCCGTAGGGACCCTGGTCTCTGTAGTCTCCCTCTCACTTCTCCCCTCAGACTCCACCGGAGGCGTCGGCATCTCGCGAATGTTTCACGGATAGTCCTGAAACTTGCTGCACGGAAACGGCGGTATGCGTTGCATCGCCATAGTCTGTGAGAAATATGATCTTTCTCGAGAAGCGTTCGCTGTACGCGCTTCCGAGACTTTAAAAGAGATTTTCAGCAAATCATGTGTAAGAATTTTGATGTGTAGTTTCTCCAAACATGCATTTGCTACAGTAATCATTTTATTTAAAGACGTATCTACAGACTATCTCCCAATATAGATAACAATCGGATAAGGAAAGTTCATCGAACCGCGGTTCAACGAATAAACCATGTTATCAAACTCTTGCTTATCGTTGGTATTAGAATGGGATAAATTTAAGCTTGCGTAGCGTCATAGATAAAAATTGTTCTTTTAGTCAAGAATTTTATTAATCTCTTCTTATTGATTTTTATGTTACAGATTTCGAATAGACAACACAGATCATATAATTGACGTGAACAAAAACAATGCAATGTTTGAATACGATCAAGTCAATATAATATGTCCTGTGTATCCGCCGGACACGTATGTTGATGACGATGCTGAGAAGTACATCATCTACAACGTAAGTTAATTTTTACTTAAGTTAATTTTATGCAATCTTATCTTAATATTGATAGCCGAGCTAATGCAACGATTTTCTCTTTGATACATTTATTAGATAACGAATGCAAAACCATAACGTGTGATGTCTATGACAACAATATTTTTATATTGGACGTAAAAATAAATTGTCGATCAGATTCTGCGAATGTTTAGACAGCTGCTGCTACTTGAAACTGGTTCTTTAACCCGCTTTCATTATATCCAAAACGACATCCGCTCTTCAGCAAACGTACCGTGCTACCGAAACGTAGATTTATCGATAAACTGAAAGAAATATTGGGCATAAGCATTAGGCAATCTCACGATCTCTTTCTCTATTTTTAAGCTCGATTCAGTGCGTGACTTTTAGATGAAAAAGATTAAGTTCTATATTTTTTGCACTTTTTTATAATTAGAGTTTTTAGAGTTGTTATTTTTGTCGCTTATTTGAAATATTTTTATTCGCCACAGAGGTTTTTCCAATTATTTTTGGCTAAAAGTTAATTCCGATGAAAAAAAAAAAAAACTGTCGCTAATACCAAGACGAAAATCTGACACTGCATTCCCGATTGATACGTTTTTGTACAAACTTTCATTCTCCCGATAACCAATTCCGGATACCGCGGCAGATTCTCGGCTTTCATGGACGCCATCAAACATTCCGGTGGCGTCCACCCTCTTGAGCAAAGCAAAACCTCCCAAAGACCATTCCTGCGTCGTCGGCGACCTAATCGTTTCGATCCACTTGATCGTCCCTCTACTCTCCGCCATCCGTTGTCCCATTGTCTCCGCCGTTCTTCCTACACGACGATTAGCTCCGACAATGAAGCCCTCTTCTGCTGAAGAGCACGGGAATCAGTTCGCTGGGGGGGAAACGCTAAGATGGTACCTTTCACAGTAGTCAATCAGCGATCGGTGTCGCCGATCCGCGTGTCGTCCCGTGTTGCCGATCGATTATACCGTCGCAACTCACCGCAAGATTTCTCTTGGGCGTTTTGCAGGTGTCCAAGGAGGAGTACGAGACATGTCGGATAACGAACCCGAGTCCGCGGGTAATAGCAGTGTGCGACAAGCCGCGCAAAACGATGTACTTCACCATCACGTTTAGGCCGTTCACGCCGCAACCCGGGGGCCTCGAGTTCCTCCCGGGCCACGATTACTACTTCATCAGCACCTCGTCGAAGGACGACCTTCACAGGCGCATCGGCGGACGGTGCACCAGCCACAACATGAAGGTCGTCTTCAAGGTCTGCTGCAGCAATGAGGCCGAGACCTCCTCCTCATCGGCGACATCGCGCAACAACTGTAAGTATTCTGCTCGGGATAGACATATCGTGAATTCATGCGAATAATACAAAAGCTGATTTATGAGAAGAAAAAAGAATTGCTCTAATTTCAGTTGAAGCGGAATTCTTTTTTATTTATGAAATGCTTGTAAGCATTATATTAATATACCAACAAAAGGTATGAACAAAATCCATTCTGATCATACCAATCAAGAATTCCTATTATCGCAATTAAATTTTTGCATGGAAAGAATTATTTTATTGAGTATCTAAAAATTTAGGTATAGATACAGATTTGAAAATAAATGTTAGATCATCAAAATAATTATGTAAGACGCAAATTGATTGTTAAAATATCAAAATTATTTTGCAGTATTGCTCATCATGCTCCAACGTTTTACACAGATGTTTTGATGGTTATTCAATGAATTACTTTTAAATCTGTATTTTTTTAAATTTAAATTGATTTTTTTTAGATATTTCAGAAAAATTGTTCTTCCTATATCTCTCAATTAGAATTTGATTGATTTACCTAACTATAAGTATATCTTCTCTTGATGATTGAAAATATCAGAATTCCAATTAATGCAACCAAGACTTTTTCCAATATAGAAATGTAAAATTGTATTTGATTCCGAAGTAGAACCTTTGGATATTGAATAGAAACGGATTTTCTTTGTTCTCCAAGATTCGAGAGGCGGAAACTTATTCTCTGCGAACAATTCGCGTGACGATTCGTTGTGCGAGTTCACTCGCGTGCGTTTCTTCATTTGCATCGCATCGCGCATCGCCCGCGAAACGGTACCCGAAACGCAGACTCTTCTTCCCATGGAAGGCACAATCAGATGGCAATTATATTCTAATTTCTCAATTATCATAATCTAAAATTATAGGTGTCGTTTGCATGAGGGACACCGCCTTTTCATTCCACGTGTAAATCACACTCTTAACTCTTCACGCTTTTTCGTTCCGCGCGATCTCTGCCGAAGATACACGCTCCAAAAAAAAAAAAAAAAAAAAAAACAGGAATGAGAAGAAGAATCAGGGGTACGAAACAGAAATGATCTATAAATTCATTATCCCGTAATCAGTTACGTGAGAGGAACAGCTACCATACAAGCTGTGCTCATTCGTTGGCCATCCTTTCGAGCTCATTTCCTTTTCGTCCTTCCTATCTCTCACCTCTTGTCTCTCCTGTCGTCCGTCCCGCCGTCTCTCTCTTAAATAATCCCTATCGATTATAATCCTCACCGTGCATCATTTGTTGCGGCCGGGGAGGGGGGAGGGACCAATTCTGTGTCCCGGAGCACAATAAATTCTACCATTTCATTTTGCCCCGCTATTCTCTCCCCAATTCGTTCCGAAGCATCCTCGAAGCGTCCTCCCGCTTCTTCGGTTCCCCTCTTGTCTCCCTCTTAGTCCCCCTTTTCTCTTCCTGCCACCTCCGCCCCAGCAGAGACGATTCATGCGCCATAATGACCAGCTATTTTGCCGGCCGGGAACTCTGAACTCTCTCTCTCTCTCTTTCTTTCTCTCTCCGTAGCATCTCGGGCATTGAAGATTCCACGGCGAGACTCGACCTCGCGTTCACGGTAGACGTCGAGAGTTCGCGCGCGGCTACTTCCACACAATTATATCGCCGGGGGGTGCGTGTACCTCCTCGGCCGCGAGTTTTATTTCCGAGGGGTTAGCAGGTACAGCGCCAAGTTGTGCGCTCAGAATAACGCGGGGACTATCGGCGGGCCTTCGCGATGGGAAAGTGTGAAGATGACGAAGGTTGCCTCACGCCGCATTTAATCACAGTTTCTGAAACTTATCTGTACTTCTTTCTACATTAAAATCGATTTAAGAATCTTTTTCGTGTTTTTTATCTTGGAAATTAAAAGAAATTCCGTTTTTTATATTGTGTAAAATTTAAATATTTAGTATGAATATAGGAAAGTTGAAAATGTGAAATGTGAATATTTTGTACATATTTAAAAATATGTATTATTTTAACGTATAAAAGAATTTGCATGAGAGGAAAGAATATATTTGAATGATAACTATAAAGATATAGAAGTAAATCTTTTAATATCAAATACTTTCTTCAAATCTTTCTTAAAATATCTTTTTTTAATTTCTATATAAGAAACTACACACACACACGCATACAAACCTTTTCTTTCAAAATATATAATCATTTACTAACACTCGCAATACGATTCTTTCTACCCATATAATCATAGGTACTGAAATCGAATGAGTATTATGGTGAAGAACCAACACCATTCTAAGTTCTAAGATGTTCTCAGCGATAAGATATTCAAACGTCATGTTTCGTCGAGCGGCTGTTTCGGCGTAACGATACGAATTCTCCTTTCAATCTACTAAGCCATGTAGAAGCTAACTCGTTCTTCAACTCTAACCGTCGCCGGTTATTTCTCGACTCTATAGGCTGCATTCGACTATCCTTATTTAACATTTGGTGAACAACAAGGATAAAACGATACATTCTAAATTGTTGTTATGCACCCTTACGCGCGGCTTTCGATCGAGTAGGGTATACAGGATACATAGAAGAACTGACGCGTAATCATCTAATACCATGCCATCCGTTTTCCAGCCGTAGCCGTGACCAGCAGCACCGTGCCCAGCAGCAGCTCGACAAGCACCGCGGTTTTGGGTGGCTCCGCCGCCGGCCTGCCAGCCCCGCCAGTCGTCTACAGGGGCGGAGATCGATTCTACCCGGAGATCAGCATCGATCTCGATTCACATCATCCAGGCACGGCGGCGCCGACCCTGCCCCATGTACCCTCACCAATCTACCCTGTGCATCCGCGTCAGCCGCAGCCGCCAATTCACAATGGATCGCCGTCCTCGATCACGCCGCCCAAGACTTCGACTGGTCAGAAGAAGAAGAATAGTACGTATCGCGCGTCACTGTTGCATGCTGCCGTCTGTCTATCTGCCTGTCTTTGTCTACCCAATGGAATATCATTCTGAATCACTTTCTCATACGCGCAGCGGTTCATTTTTGTACCTTATTTTTGATCCGAATCATTTGGTGCTGACTCGTACCGGTCCGGAAATCGATGGAGTCATCTACTAGTTTAAAATCAGATTAATTCATTGCTAACTCCTTTTTGTTTATTTGATAAAAAAAAGTATTTGGCTGAGTTGAATCGTACGTACTCTCTAAAATTTTTTAAGTAAATTTTCTTACTCTGAAGAGTGAAATCTCACTCTTGAAGATTGAAAATTTAGCAATTCTTTTTCAAGACTAACTCAATTTTCACTCTTTATAGTGAGATTCTACTCAAAAGAATTTGAAGAATATGTTCACGGAAGTGAGATACAACGGTAATTATTGATGACCGTTTCAAATTGACATTAATTGACAGTCGAGGTATTGACAATGTTCGCTGTATCAATTGAATTTCTTTTAAGCACACACTTGCGCTTCGCTCTATGAATGTCTACGATGAATGAATGGTTATCTACATAATACTAGCCTATCTGTGGCATATCCAGAGTAAATTATAGTAGAAATAGGTAATAATGATGACCGCCGTTATTTATTACCAGTATTAGTCGTTGCAAATTGTGTTCTTCCGAGTTATCCCACTTTTAGCGCTCATTCTAGCTCTTTTTCTCTTTAATTCATAACTGAGATACTGAGGATTTCCTTATTCCTGTTCAATCACAAATTATTTCTTAAAATAAAGAGAGACAGGTTTACGTATTTATTTGACGTTCGCATTTATGCACGAGATACGTTAAGAATCACATCGCTACATTTAGTTGCAAATGCGCGCCATAAATACGTTCACTTCTACACATGCCAGGTGGAAGGTCGGGGAAGCACAATGTCAAGATCCAATCGAATGAAAACCGAACGAAAGCCATCTGTCGATCTCAGCATCGTACGCCCTTCTTCTTTGCAGTGACGTCTACGATATAATTTGACTTCTAAATGTGCCGCGTACGCGCGCATTTGCATTTCGCCGATAAGCCGCGCGCGCCAATAGCCACTCACCCATTAACGGTGCCGTGTTTCCGAGACGCGGCACGATAGGGAATACACGTTACCAAGGTGTCGACACGAAATTGCCAGGGATTTCGTTTCTCTCTCGCGGTTCCGCATGTGGTAATAACCATTAAAATTTGAGATGCAACTTGAACATTCACACAAGGATGTCCTTGGCGGCGCATCTCAAGATATAGTCCCACTGGCAAACCCCTCATCTCTATCGCGGATTAAAGCATACATATAAAAGGTTGAGAAAATTTAATTTGTCTTAAAAATTTAATTAATTATAATAACTAATTTTCTTATTTTAAAACCGTTTTAAGTAACATCATGAGATGCTAATACGAATCTATGATTGACTTGTAATAACTTAAAAGAAATTGTAAGATGATTTTTAAATATAAGACTATGAATACTGAACTTGAATGGTGCAAGATAATTTAAAAAGAAAAAGGACAAAAAGATTAAAATACACATATTATAGATCATTTTATTTTTCAGTCTTCATTTTTCAATCTCTTTTCTGGAGAAAATTGTCCCTTTAATATCGTTTTAACAACTTATGAAATGTATGTTTCTTAATACTTCACTGTCGTGTATGTTATCGACCAATATGATTAATAATTTATTTTGTTTTTATGTTTTGCAGAAGAATATTCGGATCATCCGAACGAGGTGGTGAAGAATGAGGAGCTGACGTACAACAGCGCAAGCTCGTATACTCGTACGCAAGTTCGGTACACAAGCCTAATCCTAGCGACAGGTAGCCTGCTGATGAGCGCGTTGTTGCAGCAGCTGCTGCGGTGAAGCGACAGTACCAGCTACGTACGAGAACATCGTATATCCCATGCGTCGAAACCCCTTCTTCTGTGATTATCCTACGTTTAATTGATTTCTTGAGAGGCGCGCGAGACACGCGCGTATCTCGGCCGTCCCTCGATCGTAGTGAGACACGCACGATCCATGGTCGCGCCGACTCGAGAGATAGCAGGGAAGACAGAAAAGACAAAGAGAACGAGAGAGAGAGAAAAAGACGAAAAAGAAGAGACACGTCAAGAGAAGAGACACGCACGACACACGAGCGGCAGCGTCATATTAACTACAATTAAAGAACTAGCGGGGTTCTCTAGGGTGGAATGTTGTAAAAAGATGAAGACGAGGAATAGGACGAGAAGTAGGAAAGAAAGCGAAGAAGAAAAGACCGAAAGAGAAGCGCTACTACTAGACACTACTTATAGTACACGCCCACTATTATCACTACTATAAATGGTAGTCGTATTGGTTGTCCTTCTTATCATTACGCTAACTGTAGGTATTTATTCGAATATGAGAGAAAGAGAGATGTAAGTATAGGAGTCGTGGCAGCGTGCTAAGTATCCTCGACCGAGAGCGAGAAGTGTACGCGAGAGAAGGACGTCTATTATATATTAGTATAACAAGCCTATGTACGCGAATAACGTCAGATCGCACATCATTGATTCGAGCGAATTTTTAATTCAAGGAAAAATACCGCATGGGCTCAGCCATCGACGACGAACGATCCTTCGTTAAGGGGTCCTCGCTCGGGGCCGGCAAGGAAATAGTTTATCCTGAGCGCGATCACGCGAGCGCGCCGTGCCTCGAGAAAAGAGTACCTGAAAATCCTTGAATGCTTTCGGTTTGCGGCCAAGGCGGTAACAATCCGGTGGAAAACGATCGAGATCCTATCGCGAGTGACTTTCGAAAACCTCATAGAGATACATGGACTCGAAATCGTCAATGCGATGCGCCGTAGTTCCTCGATGACCAGACAATCCGTATCGAGCAAAAACTCGAAGAGTCAAGAGGAATCGTCTGGAATTAATCGTGTCTCTCATGCGGCGTTTAAGTTCAGACCGATCGCCGCGGCCGCCCGGCCAATCGCAGGACGCCGAGGACGAAGGATCATTCGAATTCGCATGCGAGATCGCGAGTAGGATAGTTAGCACGCGTGTAAATAAATTCCTAATGAATATGTACAAGTGGCTCTTGTGATTGCCTTGTATGTCGACGGGCAACAGAGGGGCCGGAGAAATTTAAGAAAGAGTGCCGTATTTCTAGGTAAATCTTATAATATGAAACGAGAAAGCGTGGGTCAGAGAGAAAATGTGAGCGCGTATGTGCATTATGTAATTATGATATGAGCATATGTGCTCATTAAACGAATCGACACGAACTTAGGCGAATTTCTGTCATGGCAGATCTAATTGCATCATTGTCATAAGTCGAGGATAGCGTATAGTATCGATGATTCGAGCCGTCGGATAAGGAAAGTAGCGTTGAAAAAAAAAAAAACGAATAAAGAATATTATGCGAGAGAGACTGAATCGCGAAATCGAGTAAAAGACAGATTTGTATAATAGCTGTATTATACTGAGACTTCTATCTATAGATCTGTATTATATTTATTATCCGCTATCATTACGCTAACGAATATTCAACACTCGATATTCTATATTTGCTAGTGAAATATCAAATTTAATAGCGAACAAATTAACGTACTGCCGGCACCGGGGGTGAAGCGGTAATCGCGGCACGAACGAGCCCCCGGAGCCAACCCTCCCTCACCCCGTCATATTATTGTTTCCCTCGTTGTTAATTTTGTTCAGTGTTCACACACGAATCATGTTTCTATTCACACTATACATGATGCCTAATCAGTTCAATCATATTTCCGATTTATATTGATCCTTTTCTACATTTTCCTTTTTTTATTACTTTATTTATTATTCACATTGCCAGGGAAAAAGACTTGCGCGTGTACACGTTTCATGCATACACATTCGTGGATTCAACTTTCGCATGACGTCCACGCGTGCGTAGTGTGCGTGGCTGCGACACGTAAAAGATGAAGCAGTGAGTAATTTTTCGTTCGTGTCCACAAAAAAAAATACAATTGCGACTGCACTAACGAATTATTGTAAATACGAATTTACACGGGAAATGAGTACCGTAGTGAGAGGGATGCGTGATTGCGTGCGTGTGAGAGAATAAGAAAAAAAAATTCTTATTCAGAATCTTAAGTAGCAAAATGAAAGAATCATTACTTTGAAGATTACTCGACACGATTCGCTTTCGGAAGTCCATTCATAGTTCATTCATCCTCATTCGCGTCTACGATCGCAAGAGCAGCGAATAACTGCAGTTAACCGAGAACAATACGTTTGTGAATAAATGAAAGTTCAGCAGTATTAAGTCTGAGCGTCACGCGCCATCCATCATTGGTTTGTATTTTTCACTTCTGTTTTTTTGCTGCAACAGCAATTAGCGACGAGCGAGCTGGTCAATGAAATCTTTTATGGTTCCAATTGATCGTCGATTCAAAAATGTCTTGTTTATAAGCGATGTTAAGTAAGATGTATTCGCAGACAATCATTGTATTTAGAATTTATCAGAGATTAATGATTTATTTATGTTATTTATATTATGAACATTCTTCTCTGGTTGAAATATGCTGGATATAATTATGTTACAATCATCACTCATCTTCAATCATATGTTTATTAATATACATATATATATATATGTGTCATTAATAATATATAATTGTTGTATCTCTCGATGGTCCTTTAAACATTCAAATTATGAATATTTATGAATATTAAGGATACTTTTTGGCATTTTTCAACCAGAACGGTTGTAAATACGTAATGTTTTACGGAACCTCGAATTTCTGTTACGAACGGACGCGCTCGTTCGTTGCACCACAGTTGGTATTGTTACGAATTGTGAAAGTGTTACGAAACAGCCGATCACAAATTTACTTTAAGTGCGAAGGATAACAAGAGCATAACGCCGTTCTGTCGATCGTTTGCACGCGAAGGGCGAAAGGGTACATGGATCACAGTACACACTGGGTACTCATTCGCGCGGACGATATAAGTGAATACGTTATAACAATAATATAGACTCGAATTATTCGATATAGAAAATAGACAAGGTCGCTCACTGCAAACTCATCCCTCTTTTTTTTTATTTTACTTCCCCTTTTTTGTTTCCATCCATCCATCCATCACGTCCATACCGTTATACACCAACGGACCCGTGCCGCAGACCGCGAGACGTGAGGCGTCCTGCTGCCCCAATGAGGAAAAGAAAAAGTATTTTTTTAACAGCAGATAGAGAGAACGCATCTGCGGTGGGTTTGTTTGTTCAGAAACGTATGTAAATAGATGTAACGTGCGTGTTATACGCGAGAGGATTCGACGCCGCCTATATTAACGAGTCAGATCTATATTTCGGTCCGCGCGATCCGCGGACCTGTCGATGCAATTTAAATGCGTGTAAATAAACGTCCGAGGTAGAATTAAAAAAAAAAAAAAAAGAAGGGAAAAACGAGAACAGGATACGCTTCACGTCCATCCCGAGGAGGTCTGAGTTCCCGTCTGCTATTACGTTCGGTAATGCCACTTCACTTACGTAATCATCCACTCGTGTGCGTGTGCAAGAGAACAAGAAAGGATGCGAGGCTCGCGCGCGGTTGTCTCGCCAACGAGAGGGGCACGCCGCGTGCGTTCTCACGCGTTAAAAGAAAAAAAAAAGGAAGAAAAACGAAGACTTGTTCTTCTCTTCTCGAGATCGAAGGTAAAATATCTGCCGCGCTGACAAGTACGGCCGCGCGGTTTGTAATGAATTAATTAATTAATTAACGAGTAAAAAGAGGATAAAGCGAATTTCGAATAGACACGCGTCACTGTAAATAAACAAATTAACGATTAAATAAACGGTAAACACGATGAAATTTATATTAAAGTGCATAGCGAATACGAGATAGGTTTCTAATAACGGTTTATTATAAAAATAAAAAAAAATGTGAATGTATGTTGATGTCTAAGATTTTTAACGAGGACGGAGGGCGCAGAGCGGTTAATTGTAAACTATGATTACACTATCCGTAACCAAAGTACGCGAGTACTAATTGAACGGGAAAGCAGGCTCGCAGAGAGCGGAGCAACGCTTAGCCGGATCGTGATTTCTCACGTTGCATATATTATTTTGTAACCGGAACGTACAGGACCCATACACTCTCGACATCACGGCTAGCATACGCGGCACTTTTACCGATAAACGACAGACTCATTCTAGTCGCCAAGAGCACTGTTAAATCTACAGTGTCAAATTTAACGTAATTTAAGTGACCACAGCTGCTACTCAAAATATATCATTATTTTATACTAAAACAATTAAATTTGAAGCTATAAAATAACAATATTATATTGAACAGGAACAGTGGCGAGATAATTTAAATTAAATTTGTCTCTACAGATTTAACAGTGAGGCAAACAACTTTTGATTAATACTCCGTGTATAACCAATCAAGGAGAAAATGTAAAAAAAAGAAACCCCGTTGAAAAGATAAAGTAATTATTTAGTTTCCTTTCCGAAACGCCGACTTCGATACTTCGATCCGCAGATCAATTTCGCTTCGAGTCCGATCAAAGCTGTCAAGCGCGTTTTTAATAGCGAACTATCCGTTTTTGCGACATTCTTTTTCGCACGGATTATTTTGTCGAGCGCGGCGCGTTCCGTGATTAATGAGACACGTCTCGTCCGCGGTGTACATCGGAATATTAATTAAAAATCTCGCCAGTGTCTACGAGCAGGGGATCGTTAACGAGCACGCTCGTTGTTTTCGTGCGATGCTGGGCTCGACCGCCGCGTATGGTATCCTTGGAACGGGACCTTATAGATTGCGTGTGTTCACCAGTATGCACATTCAGTACCAGTCGTTCATTACGAAGCATTACAGGATACAATACAAAGTAGCGTAGCGTTCATAACGGTAGTCCACTATAGCGAAATAGTATTTAAACGAGCAGCCGCCGGTTGCAAAAAAAAAAAAGGAAAGAAAAACAGGAAAATCGCCATAATCAACCGAAAAAGTTAGGAGATCGCAAATAGCAGTGCGCGGAGGAAAGGGGAAATAAATGAATTTTTCGTGTAAAGAGCAGACGTGAACAAGCGGACGCGAGACGCATAACGTGTAGACACACGGAGTGCCGGTTGTGGAAACTGCGCGAGAGATTGCACACGCGTGATACGGGGAGAATGAGAGGAGCAGGGAAAGAGGTGACGAGAAAAGAGTGCGGACAGATAAGGGTGAAGCACACGATATATCTAAAAAGCCCGCGTTCATGTAAACGCAATGCGTGCGTGCGTGCGTTGCGCGTGCAACGTGGGTGCGTGGAGTGAAAGAACGGGAAGTGGGGAAGGGAGAGAGAGAGAGATGCAAAGAGGATGTACGTGGTCCTATGCGAGGGAGCGCAGGATGTTACATAATTTATGTAGGTATATTCTATATGTATGTCGATATATAGCGAAGTATATATCGATGGCAAACGAAAGTAATGTAAAAAAGTGGAAGGAGGCAAGATATCGTGCGTCGGGCCGGAGAGGGAACTAGCTGTATCATATTTACGATATTTTGCGCGAATCATCCCTGTTTACTTGGAAGGGGGAGGAATAAGACGGTCCAGAAGAGGGACACTCGCCAAGTTCGGTCCTTATCGTCAAAATCGTGTCGATCGCGTTGATTTCTTACATTTAAAAATCACGACTTCGTTCGCTTTCAGTTTTTCCGAAATTTGTTATCGCGGCTTAAGATTGCATAACTTTGGCGATTAAGAAGGGAAATTTAGAAAGGTCTCTTAACACGAGCAATATTTATCTTTCAATTTAATATCTAAACGCTGGTTGTACTTGGCTAAATTATTCTTACAATTTATGGTGAATTGTGTGTTAAGGCCAGAAAGCGGACCGTCCTACCTTACGATCCTGCTGTTAGTACAAAAGAAATAGTCGATGCACGAGATATGCGTGATTTATTCCACTTGCGTTGTATAAATTGCGGGCAAGTAACAGCATTTGACAACTAGTTCGCAAATTCTAGTCTGTTCTTCTATTCTATTTCAATCGCTCATTATCGCATGAGAAAAAGCAATTTCTTTGAAACAAGACTTCGTATACATAATAAGGATGTTTCGTATCTGTTTCTCATGATTTACATTCAAAGATGTTAATAACTATACATATCAGACAAATTCAAAGTTTCATCAACCTAAAAAAAACGTGGTTCCTAAATTCCACTACATTCTACTATACATTCAGCTTCCTTCTTATTTTGATTAAACCTTCAAAGCTGACCGTTATGTCACGCTATAAAAAGAGGCCTAAAAGTTTTCATCTAAAAAGAAATGTTTTGAATCGATTTACTATATTCCTGCTATATTGTTACTAAATTTATAACTAGGGAACGCTATTAATATAAAAAGCTCGTAAATAATTTTTTTATAGCACAAATGTAATATATTTTTCATTCGTATGTATTGCGTGAAGTATAAAAGAAAAAACAACTGTTATATTCAAAAAGCAATTCCTCTCGAAATAAACTGCCATATTTAACGATTACCGTCAATTTCCAATATTTAATACGTTGCAATACAGAGAAAAAAAAGACAAAACCGGAAACAATCCAGATAAAAAGATCAATAACTTTCAGTGCATTCGAAGAATAAAGAAAAGAATACGTTTTAACGATAGGTATTGCTAATATCACGTGCGTTTTGTAAACAACGAATTTTTTCCGTAAAAATCAATTCGTTTCCGCTGAAGGGGCTACGCAATACTTTGTACATCTGAGGATTACAGCTGTTGATAAACTAAAAAGTGCGATAGCATATCGTGATAATTTTAAGTTCGCTCTTTAATGTTAGAAATAATTGACAATGGATATTCTCCGCACACGCAAGCTACTTATCTTCTTTTATTTTCCTTTGTTTAACGAACACAAAAAAGATAACACAAGACTCGCTTTATTCGTGATAGTGTAACTGACATTAGTCGAACATAAATCATTATCGCACCGTTCAAATGTTTCTATATGTGAAGTCTCTCAGATTGTTATGTAAGAAATCGTACAGTAAGCAAGAAATAAGGTAGTCGTGAGAATAATATGTGCGTTATTAACACGTGATGATTTATTCTTTCCTACGTTGTATTTATCTGACAGAAATTCGAGCTTAAGAAATTACGTTACAACGCGTATTTGACAATTTTCTAAACGACAATTTCGCGGAGTTAACGCAGCGAGATGAATGGTATACAGTAAATTTCATTTCGTATTTATGTTGAAAATGATCCACTCAAGTCTTGTTAAAATTTTGTATTGAATTTTGCACATATTTGAATACTAATTTAACATGAAATGATTGTTATTTAAATATTTTGCGTCGAATTAACATTCAACATTTTTTAGTATCAAAGTAACACAATTATGAATAAGTGGATAAATAATAAAAAGAACGTGTTTTAAAACGTAAATTCTAAGATAAATTTAATGAAAATACACGTTAATTTAATATATTGTTAATTTTACTGAAAAAAATGCTTTCACAATTTGTTTATAAATTTTATCAGTATATCTTTTTGTGTACTTTTTACATAATATTTGTTACTTTTTGACATATTCATCTTGTTAAATTAACACAAAAAATTGAGTGGATCGTTGGAAGCACGTAAATGTGTTAAATTTAATATAAATTTTCCAACTGTGTAACATCCTCTCGAAATAACACCGATTCATATCTAACATGCAACGAGCGTCAATTGCATACCAAAGACGCGTCTCTCCCCGCAATCATTGTGATTCTTTTATCGCATTTCGACGACGGAAAGAAAAATCGTCGGGGACAATGTGTAGCAGAGTTGGGCGAGATTATAGTATTTCCGATAGCAATAAAACGATCGCTTTCGTGCAATAAAGCAACAATATCCATCGATCACAAATATCAATTAGAAGAAAAGCACATTTCGTTATGATAGGAATAAGCGGAAGAATAAGTGATTTATTGATCAAGGAAAACAGAATAGCGCCCGCCCAACTCCGCTCCGCGCAGAGGAAACGGCGTCGAATCCAGGCAGTTTTGTCAAACGCGAGGCTCATTTATTATTAGATCCTAGATTAAAGGCGACTCTTTGATATTTTGATAAATCTGGCTAGTTTCCAAAGCGAGAGAATTTATGATGGAAAGACCGGCAATAAGCGAGACACGAAGATCCCGTAAAGGCGAAAAAAAGAAAAGACGTTACGCCTTGTCGTGGCGCGCGTCAATTTACACACGTATCAACCGCATCAAAAGCTGAACAATTAAATGACACGACAAACGAATAAAAAATGTTAAAGGAGATCCAAATGTGCGGGAGAAAAAAGAAATACACGAGATCCGCCGAATTAAGTCCCCGAATCCGCCTCGCGGAAATTAATGCTGGCCTGAAGAGAAACAGGGAGAGATTTAATCGAGCGTATTTTAACGGAAGACGATGTCGCTTGAGGATCCTTAAAAAAAACGCACCGAACAGCACCCTCACGGCCTGGAGAGAGAGAAAGGGAAAGAGAAAGCAGTGCGGAGCAACTTCGATAAAAAAGAAAAGGGAAAAAACCATGACGGAAGGGTAATGTGCCCCCAATTAAGGATGGCCTATATATCGCACTCGTTTGAAAACTTATCGCAAGAATGCACAAGAAGTAGCGTACACTCGCTGTACTACTGTTTGTTGACTCGAATAAATATGCGAATTAAAGTCGGTTTGGTTTATATGTACACGGTGAGTCCAAGATTCGCGCGAGCGGAACGCTGGTGATCGTTCGGACGTGGAAGCTGGACTTGTCTCGTAAAGAATGTTATTTGCCACGGAATATCGAGTATTAGAATAAGATAAAGTGAAACGCGGAGAATCATCTCGGACGGACGCGAGCGTTCCATGCAGCGATATTGTTATTATACGAATGTACTCAAGACGGCATGGTATACAAGACTAAAACAAGACCTAAAATAGGGACATAATATTTTATAACTCAACTTTTGTACAGAATAAATACTTGTACTGTGGACCAATATTTCTTTCATTTCATTCACATCAAAACCATTGTTGGAGTGTAGTTTTCTTATCGCATTAAAATGATCGATATTATAAGAACATTAATACAATTACTATAAATATTTTCATCGAATTAATTTGTTTCTTGGTTTAAAAGATTTTTGAGTTATAAATATAATTAAAAGGTAAGTAAAATGTTCCATAATTGATTTAAAAAAATATATAAATGTAGTATGTACACATAGATAATAATATACAAATATAAATCTATATATATTTATTTAAAATTTATTTATTTGTCTTTTGCTTATGCACTAATGGTATAATAACAATGGAATTCATCGCTTCAGATATTTGCCACCAACTTCCATTTCTATGTTCTTTACCTATACCAGCAATAAGGTGATTTCCATCAGGAGTAAATGCGAGCGCATTTATGAAACCCGTCAATTTAACTTCAAATAACAAATTTAAAGATCTAAAGTTTTCACTGCAGTGCCATAATTTTATCGTACCGTTCCGCGAACCTAGAAATTATAATTGAGTAATCAATATAAAAAAAGAAACAATATAGATAATAAGTATGAATACAAGATTACATTATAATTCACCTGACGCTACTAAATCTGTATTCAATAGTGTGGCAATACTTGAAATCCACATCGGTTGACCGTTGGTTTCGTCTATTCCGTGTGCCTGTGATATTGAACACAGCGGTTTCTTCTTCAAACATCCCCAAAGGCAAAGTTGTCCGTCGTCTCCACCGGTAAAAAAATTCTCCTCGTTGATGAGCTTAACTGCGTCAATGCTACTGCCGACGCTACTAGCGTTAAATATTAACTGTGATTCTTCGACTATTTTCCATATCCTAACAGTTCCGTCGTAACCACCGCTTGTGATAGCGCGCTCTCGTGAAAGCGCGTCAATAGAGGTGATAGCGTTCTGATGCCCGAATCTACAATAGAACAATGACACACAATCAAAAACAATTTAAAGATAAAATAAACAAATTCAATATACAGTAGATGAAATAATATTAAAGATTATTTAAAGATCAAGTGGTTAAGTTAAAAATAAAAATAAGAAGAAGTAGCATATACCAGCATATTGAAGCATTATGCATATTGGAGCATATTGAACCAGCGTGTGGTATATGCTCCTTCTTCTTATTTTTAAATAATATTAAAAACTTCAAATATTATTATTAATATTATTAATACATTATTTTTATTATTGATAAAAGGTTAGCATATTATCTTTTGCTGTTTATATCTTTTATCCTATTTCTTGTTAGAATAGTTACACAACGCTTGAATAGTTACCAATGAAATGTACTATTAGTTTTTCAATTGCTTGTGATATTGGAGAAGGAAATTTACTTTTCATCCTATTTTCAAAAATTATTCTATATATATA